AGCACTTATAAGCACATTATCTCAATTTCAGGCTGACATTTCTGTGAAGCAGCTGCAGGTCAAAAATCATTTTTTTGTTTTTGTTATTCTTCTGCTTTGCCTGAGACAGGGTCTCACTCTGTTGTGCAGCGTGAAGTGCAGTGGTGCAATCATAGCTCACTGCAGCCATGATGTCGGGCCCAGGTGATCCTCCCACATCAGCCTCCTGAGTAGCTGGGACTACAGGCGCATGCCATGCAACCACACCTGGGTAATTTCTTGTATTTCTTTTGTAGAGATGGGGTTTTGCCATGCTGCCCAGGCTGGCATTATCAGGTCAGGTTTTTTGGGGTTTTTTTTTTTTTGTTCTTTTTTTTGAGACAGAGTCTCACTCTGTCTCCTAGGCTGCAATGCAATAGCACCATCTCAGATCACTGCAACCTCCACCTCCCAGGTTTAAGTGATTTTCCTGCCTTAGCCTTCCAGGTAGCTGGGATTACAGGCATGGGCCACCACACCCGGCTAATTTTTGTATTTTTGGTACAGGCAGCGTTTCACCATGTTGGCCAGGTTGGTCTTGGACTCCTGATCTCAAGTGATCCACACACCTCAGCCTCCCAAAGTGCTGGGATTACAATAGGTGTGAGCCACCGCACCCGGCCATGATCAGTTTTTATAGGAGGAAAGTGAAGCTTAAAGTTGACCAATCTAAGGTCAACAGCTATAAATGCCAGGATCAGATCTTGAACCCAGACTTTGACACTCAACATCATATATTTTCTTTTCATTTATTTACTTTTTATTTTAAGACATAGTTTCACTCTTTCACCCAGGCTGGAGGGCAAGGGTATGATCACAGTTCCCTGCAGCCTCCAACTCCTGGGTTCCCTTCTCATCCTCCTAAGTAGCTTAGACTACAGGTACAGCCACCATGCCTGGCTAATTTTTTAAAAACATTTTTGTAAAGACAGGATCTCACTATGTTGCCCAGACTGGTCTCAAACTCCTGGCCTCAAGTGATTCTCTCACCTCAGCCTCCCAAAGGCATGAGCCACCTCGCTTGGCCTGATTATATACTTAATATATATATCCATGTTTCCGTAATAATTTCCATCCCTGTTTTACTTTCAATTTGTGTATATGGAGTTTATCAATACGTGAAAATAAAATGCATTAAATCACAGTTATTACTGTGATTTGGGTTCATATATAAGATCAAAAAAGTTTTCTAAATCAGGTTGTTTTCACATTTATCATCATTGTAATCATCTAGAAAACTTAATTTTTCCTTAGATGAACTCAAAGGCATGAAAACTTGTAACTCTAGATTCTAAATATAAACACAAAAGTTTAAACATTATCCTTTAAAATATCAGATTTTCGGCTGGGTGCAGTGGCTCACGCCTGTAATCCCAGCACTTTGGGAGGCTGAGGAGGGTGGATCACAAGGTCAGGAGTTCAAGACCAGCCTGGCCAAGATGGTGAAACCCCATCTCTACTAAAAATACAAAAAATTAGCTGGGCATGGTGGCGGGCGCTTGTAGTCCCACCTACTGGGAGGCAGAAGCAGGAGAATAGCATGAACCCAGGAGGCGGAGCTTGCAGTGAGCCAAGATGGGGCCACTGCACTCCAGCCTGGGCACACAGCAAGACTCCATCTCAAAAAAAAAAAAAAAAGTTGAACATAGAGTTACCATCATTTGACCAAGCAATTCCACTCTTAGATATATGTATGTACCCATGTGCATACATAATTTAAAGACATATGTTTTCACAAAAACTGTACACAAATGTTCGTAGTAGCATTATTCATCATAATCAAAAAGTAGACCCAAGCCAAATATCGTTCCACTAATGAATGGATAAATAAAATGTGGTATATTCATACAACAGAATATAATTCAGCCATAAAAAGGAATTAAGTACTGATGTATGCAACAACACGAATGAACCTTGAAAACCTATTAAGTGACAAAAGCCAGATACAAGAGGTCCCATATTGTATGATCAATCACATTTATATGAAATGTCCAGAATAGGCAAATCCATACAGACAGAAAGTAGATTTATGGTTGCCAGGAGCTGGGGGAAGGAAGAATGGGGAGTTACTGCTACTGGGTATGGGATTTCTTTTTGGGGTGATGAAAGTATTCTGGAATTAGATAGTAGTGATGTTGTCAACCTTGTGAATGTACCAAAACCCACTAAATTGTACACTTTAAAAGCATGAGTTTCATGGTCTGTGAATTATACCTTAATTTTAAAAAATTTAACATGAGGTTCTTAAAATCCTCCTACCTTTACTGTTGGAATATAGAGGGCTAACAAGGTCACTGTAGAAGACAACAAATATAAAATGGATTAGGAAGATATTTCAAGTGGAAAGTTAAATACTTGAAGTGGCAAAATGATGACATAACTGAGTAGATTGAGAAAGTAGAAAAAAAGTGAAGCTAAAAAAATATATATGGTTAATTAAAAGGTCTTCTAGATGTAGAATAAGTTTAGGTGAAAGCAGAGGAAAAATAAATTAATTCTTCTTTTTTTAAAGAGACAAGGGTTTCACTATGTGGCCCAAGCTGGCCTCAAACACCTGGGCTTAAGTCATCATACCATCTCAGCCTCTTGAGTAGCTGGGACTATAGGTGCCAGCCACTATGCCTAACTTAAACTAATTCTTTATTTAATAATTTTTTCATTATTTGGTTGTAACCCTGAGTCACAACATCTCTAAGACTTTTAGAGCACAGGAAAGTTATAAGAATAGCATTATTATGATCTCATTTTATTTGGAATTCAAGGAGATGGAACAAGCTGCCCAGCATTACATAATAACTTAATAATGCATCCAAGAAATTTCACTGGAGGCAAACTTTACCTGTTAGCTACTTTTCTGTTGAAAATGTCAATTAAGTCAGCTTTAAAGTGACATAATAAAGCCATACTTGTATCCCTCAGTCTAAACTGATCAAGAATTACTGTTAAATATAAAAGCCAGTGTGTATTCTAGGTTATCTTCTTACAAAACATAGTATAAAAACTTGCTTGTTGGATGATAATATTCCATTTTCTGTCTACTTGGAAACTAAGTTTTTAAATGAAATTAAAATGTTTCCTTGACCGAAGTTAAACAATAATAATTGCTATCTAAGTATCCCAATCACAATAAATAAATTAGTGAATGATGAATGAGCTATTTATCACAGAATTGTGAAGGACCAAGATCCCTCAATGTAGTCATTCTATTATATTGAACACAAGATGCAGACAATGACATCATCTCATAAAAGATTTTGGGGAAAGACAAGGTATAAGAATGTTCTATGAGGCCGGGTACGGTGGCTCAAGCCTGTAATCCCAGCACTTTGGGAGGCCGAGACGGACGGATCACGAGGTCAGGAGATCGAGACCATCCTGGCTAACCTGGTGAAACCCCGTCTCTACTAAAAAGTACAAAAAACTAGCCGGGTGAGGTGGTGGGCGCCTGTAGTCCCAGCTACTCGGGAGGCTGAGGCAGGAGAATGGCGTAAACCCGGGAGGCGGAGCTTGCAGTGAGCTGAGATCCGGCCACTGCACCCCAGCCTGGGCGACAGAGCGAGACTCCGTCTCAAAAAAAAAAAAAAAAAAAAGAATGTTCTATGAAAATACCAGGATTTGTCACTTTATCAGCAAATGTCAGCATCCTCATCAGCTCGCCTTTGTGGGGCCAGTAATCACGAAAAACATTTTGCATGACGCTTTTAGCCATTTGTTTTACTTAACTGGCACAACAACCCACTGAGAGTAGAGGCCAAGAATTATTGCATCATTATCCATTTGACATCTTCGGAAGCAGAGTCTCAGAACAAGGAAGTGACTTGCCCAAAGTCAACAGGCTGGTCGGTGGCAGAGCTGGGGCTCCAAGCCGGATCGCCTAATACCAGATCTCATCTTCTTTCCTCTGCATTCCCTACTTCTCCAGGTAAGCAATGTCAGGGCAGGCTCAGGCATTCTAGAAGAGAGGAAGAAAAGAAGGCAACAGGAACTAGGAGAGAGAAGGACATGGACAGGAGGAGGTGTTTGACTAGAAATGCGTCCAACCAGGCCGGGCACAGTGGCTTACGCCTGTAATCCCAGCACTTTGAGAGGCCGAGGCGAGCAGATCACCTGAGTCAGGAGTTCGAGACCAGCCTGGCCAACATGGTGAAACCCCCGTCTACTACAAATACAAAAATCAACTGGGCGTGGTGGTGCACGCCTGTAGTCCCAGCTACTCGCGGGGCCGAGGCAGGAGAATCGCTTTAACCTGGGAGGCGGAGGTTGCAGTGAGCCAAGATCGCGGCATTACACTGCAGCCTGGGTGACAGAGCGAGACCCTGTCTCAAAAAAAAAAAGCATCCAACGGCTCTCCATTGCCCCCAAACACCCCTCACATGACAACAGTGACACAAGTTTCCCTGCCCCTGGGTCAGCAGCCAATGTTTATCACTTGAGAATCATGTCAGAAAATTAAATGCTCAAAAGAAATCTCAAGATTTCCCAGCTCTGAGGTTCTGACAGCTGAACGTGGCCCCTCCCACCAAGGCCCGTGGTCACATTCAAAGCCTCGGGAGTCGAAGCCACTGCTACGCGTGGGGGAATGAGGCGAAGAGGGTTTGTGACGGTGGTGGGGATCCGGGCTAAGGTCGGGCTAAGGAGAGGGGGAGCCTGCGGCGGAGCTGTGGTTGGGGGATGTGGGTTTTGTGGCTGAACTCGATGGTGGGGTATGAAACCAGGATCGGGGCTGGGTAGGGTGGCGTTTACACGTCCAGGAAGGTCGGGGGGAGCTGAGAGGCTGAGACAGCCAGAGAAAGACCTGGGAATGGGCGAGGCAGGGGGTCCCGAAGTCCTGCTACGCGGCCGAGCCCCTCTGGGGCGCTCGGGATTGGGCGCTCCCCGGAGCCCCTCTCCTCAGGCCCCGCCCACAGCGCCGGGCGCGCGCCGAGCCGCGGGGAGGGGGATCTGGCCGGCGCGGGGGAAGGGGAGAGGAAGGCTCGTGCACGCGCATCACTGACTGCGGGTGCGCGAGCCGCGCGCTCCCGCCGCCCGCGTCGCCATCTTTTTCCCTCTGTCTGTCTGTCTGCCGTTGGCTTTGTCCGTCTGCAGCGCCGCCCCTCGGCTCCCCGCCACCGGCTCGGCCCGGAGCCCCTTCCGCTAGCTGGGGCCCAGTCCCTGAGCGCCCCGGCCCGGCTGGCTTGGGCTGCGGTCCCGGGTCCATTGTCCGGCGGTCCGTCTGTCCGGAGGCGGGGCCCAGGGACCCAGAGCGCAGCGCAGCGCCGAGGCGCCGGGTAAAAAGACCCCTGAGCCCTCCCTCCGGGTCCGGGCTGGGGATGCGGGCTCCTCGCCCCCTCGCGGCCGCCGGCTGTCGGTCCTTTTGTCTGCACTGGGGAGAGGGCCGGGGGCCAGCTCCGGCCTGGGGGGCAGCCCGAGCTCACCCTCCCCGCTCCCACCCCGATTCCTCCCTGGCCGCTCCTCCTGCTCTCCTCGGCGCTCTCGGGCGCGGGGCGCGGAGCGCGGGGCCGGGGGGCTTTTGCGCGGGCCTCAGGCACCCCGCCTCCTCGGGCCCTGGCGGGGACGGCCCCGGCGTCTGACAGCCTTGGGTGGAGCTGGGGGAGGGGAGGATGGGCGTGGGCGTGCAGACCGGGGGTTATCAGTCCCCGCGTCTGGGTCTCGCAGAAAAGCTTCTAAATTTAGATTTCAGAGATTGTGTTGTCTAAGGGTTTGTCTGAGCCGCCTCGGGAGACCTCCGGCTCTTGTCCGGCTCTTGTCTGGTAATTCCTGGGAATTTACCTGGGCTCGTGCTTGAAGAAACAGAGGGACCATCTCGGCTGATTAGACACACGCCCCAGACCCAACCCCAGGGGTCAGGTGAACAGCCAGGCGGCTAAGTGACCAGCTTTCTTGTCCTCTCCTTTTTGGCAGATACAGATCACTTGGATTCAGTCGAGTTTGCTTTGCTCCGTGGGAACTGCACCAGAGCTGGAGGTGGGAACGCACTCTCTTTTCATCAAGCTGGGATTTCACCCGTTTTTTTGGTTGCTAAAGTCTGTGGTGTGCACTAGACGCTGCAACCTAATACCTGTGGGAGAGCAGAGACAGTGTTCAGGGGAGACGTTGCACCTTCCCAAGGACTCTTAACCTTGCTGTGAAGACGGACAGAACTGCCTTCCTCTTAAAATGGAATCCCTTTAGACCTGAATCGCACCGTTTACCTATCTTCCCAGCACATGTTCAGGCAGCTATTTACATTTTTGGTTTGGTTTCAGATTTTAACTTGGAAATTGAGGCAGCGCTAAAAGTAAAATAGAATGAGTGACCTTTAGGGCTGTATGTCTGTGGGTTTTATTAGCTTTAACTGCCTATAAAACAATCATCTGGCCTCTTGAGATCTTGCTTTGTGGTCAAGAGTGTCCTTTCACAGCCATTTATTTATTTACTTATTTATTTTCAACAGCCCATGACCCTACAGGCCTGTTTTTGTGGGTGTTTTTGTTATTATTTTCATTTTGTTTTGTGGGAGGGGACTGTAATTGCTTATTTTTCTCGTAATCACTCAGGTGTGAAGTCCCATTGGGTACCATCTGGTCAGTTCCCCATTTGGCCACTAGGAGGATTATAAGATACAGGGGGCAGTGCTTATTTAAATATGCAGATACTCATCTCGGTCTTTTGACTTGCAGCTTTAGCATTGAAATGTTGCCTGATTCAAATTATTTGGCCTTCCTTCAGAAGGGACTTTATTACCTTTATCTTACAATTTCAATTTCTGATCTTGAAGGGAGAAAATAAAAAACTAGTCAAGATTCCGTTTTTCTCTTCTATAATAGAGTATCTATATATTTAGCCTCAATAGATTATCACATTAGAGGAGTATATTTTATTTTTTTAAAGTTTTTATTTATTTATCTTTTTTTTTTTTTGAGATAGAGTCTCGCTCTGTCGCCCAGGCTGGAGTGCAGTGGCGCGTTCTTGGCTCACTGCAACCTCCACCTCCCGGGTTCAAGCAATTCTCCTGCCTCAACCTCCTGAGTAGCTGAGATTACAGACATGTGTCACCATGCCCAGCTAGTTTTTGTATTTTTAGTAGAGACGGGGTTTCATCATGTTGGCCAGGCTGTTCTCAAACTCCCAACCTCAGGTGATCCACCCACTCGGCCTCCCAAAGTGCTGGGATTACAGGCGAGAGCCACCGCGTCTGGCAGTTATGTATCTTTTTTTGAGATGGAGTCTCACTTTGTCGCCCAAGCTGGAGTGTAGTGCCTCCATCCCAACTCACTGTGACCTCCCCTCCCCAGGTTCAAGCAATTCTCATGCCTTAGCTTCCTGAGTAGCTGGGATTTACAGGTATGCGCCACCACACCCGACTAATTTTTGTATTTTTAGTAGAGGTTTCACCATATCGGCCAGGCTGGTCTCAAACTCCTGGCCTCAAGTGATCTGCCTGCATTGGCTTCCCAAAGTGCTGGGATTACAGGTGTGAGCCATGGTGCCTGGCCATATTTTTTAAAATATTAATAGAGCCTGCATTTCGTTACCTTTCCACTTGGTGATTCCACACACATATAGGAAATCCAAAGTGTGATATTCATTCACTGCTTCTATGAATAAAACAACTACTTGATTAGAAAAAAATGTCATACACAAAACTTAGAGAACACACACTATCAGCACTCAGTATATTGCCCTCTAAATAGTTAAAATCGATTTTTATTGTGTACATTTAGAGTTTTGTTTTGTTTTGTTTTTAATTAAAGGTCTGGAAAAGAACTGTGTTTGATATGCAGATATGCTAGAAGACTGCCTGAAAGCTGCTTCCTTTGCCACTTCCTGTGGAGGCCTGTCTTTGCCATTTGCGGTTTCTTTCTTCTTTTGGTAAGGGGAGGCAGGATCTGATTATAGGTTTGAGGTTCTTCTAGCTACATAGAGGAGTTAGTTGGCATAACAGGAGGTGAGTCTTCATTAGCTGGAGTACAAAGTATAGCTAGCAGTAGTCTCCCATAACTCCTCTTAAGGCAATAAACTATGATTTTGTATTTGCTTATTCAGTGTGAGTATAACTCAAGAAGGCAGGAACTGAAAGAAAACTTAGAGTGTGGCCAGATCCATATTCCTGTCTTTGGTAGGAAAGACAATCCCTTTTTATTCTATGTCTTTATTTACTCTGTCTTTCTAAGAAAATGTCACAGCTATCAATACTAATCCATTTCGGATTCTCTAACAATGCTTAAGGCTGGGGCACTCTTTCTGTAGTTCATCAGGATCCTTCAGGCTTATGTATATATCCCCTCCTATATGGGGTGGGGAGCAGATGCACGTCTTGGCAGCATTTTTCATTTGGGGAACTTTTCTCTTTGTTCCTCCCACTGGTCTCTTCACTATCCAGAGGCTAGATTGAGAAGAGCCTCTAAAGTTATTAACTTTGACCGCCTCTCTGGAATGTATGAGGAGGGCCAGGTGATATTCCACACTGGGGTGTTGAATTAGTACTCATCAATGTGGATGGCATCTGTCTCTTCTGGTGAGATCCCATCTTCAACATTAGAAGTTTGATTTGCTTAGTGCCGTGTCACCCACAGTGCAGCATAGCATTGCACCTTTATCACCAGATAGAGGCTTTATGTCCCGTGCTGTTCTCATTTGCAGATGCCTCTTTGAGACATTTTCTGTTTCGCAGGGATGTGATGCCTTTGCTACCTCTAGGCAAGATAACATCATGAAAAATCCGCTGTTGTCGACTGCAGGGCTTGACTTCCAGTGGGCATGTGACATGAGAGCTGCCACCCTCTTTGGCTTCCTTTTGCTTCCTTTTGCAATTCATGGGGGTTATCCCCTTGAGCCCATAGTACTTCTAACTCTGGTTGCCTGAGTTTTGCTTCCTCTTTTATCCTGTGACCTTGATCGTGATCACTTAACAGTATTCTGGATTCCAAAGATGGATTTAGAGTATAATTCTCTAAATCCTCCGAGGGAGTCCCTCTTAAACTTTCTGGGACCTTGACATTAGGCTAGAGGTTTATTCATTTCTCTTTCTTTCATTAGTTCAATTATTTATAACTGGTGAGTTTTATATGCTCGGAAGCTGTTTTTTAAAGACATTTTATCCTTAAATTTTGTATTAGTGCTGGGGAAAATGACATGTGCTAACAATAACCTTTTTTATTGTAGGTTAGCATCTTGCAAGGAGGTAGTAACATATCCAGTCGTGAAACTGGGAAAGACCAGAACTCTTGCGTCAGGGAAACATGTCCCGTCGGAAACAGACAAATCCAAATAAAGTTCACTGTGAGTATCGGACTTTGTCTTCTGGAACCTGGGAATGCTGAGGGGTGGAATGGAAGAGTAACCTGAATTTAGGGGAGAGGCTCACACTGATTTGTGAAGAAGAAAAGGTTAAATGTAAAACACAGTTTGCTGAGCAGAAGAGAGAAAAAGAAAGAAAAAGGGTTAAAGATGTTGGATATGATGGATTTAAAGTGTGTCCGGTTGCTGGGGGAGGTGTTGAAAACCTATCTTAGGGGTATATGCACTTGATTTATCTTTAATATCACATTAACAAACAGTTATAAGATACCTACTCTGTGCAGATCCTTGTGCTAGATGTCAGGGCTATAAAACAATATAAGATCTATAAGACTGTATTGTAACTTCAGATATATAAATATGAATGATAGTATATGTTAAGTGCCAAACAGATGCTGCAGATTGTATGTACTAGAGAAGTTAGGAGGAAGGAAGTTAAGAGAGCCCTGTGGACTGAAGTAGCAAGGGGAATGCTTAATGGAAAAGCCTCTAGACCATGCGCCTGAGCTGGGCCTTAGAGGGTAGAAATGGATTTGAAAAAAAATTAAAAAACAAGAGGCAGGGAGAGGGAACATCAGGTAGGGAAAGTGAAGTGAGCAGAGACAGAAGCGGGAATCTACATGTTCAGAGGACAAGGAGACTTTATATGAAGCAGAGGTTTCATTTGTTCAAAACTCAGAAGATGTGAGCTTAGAGATGCTTAACTCTACACTGTGGAAGCCTGAATGCCAGGCTAAGTTCAAAGTTCATTCTGTAGTCTGTAGGGAGCTACTGAAGGTTTTTAAGCAGGGAGAGGGGAGTAACATTTAGAATGCAGCGTTTTGGTACTATGAAGCAATTTGTGGGATGGATCACAAGAGGGAGAGGCTAGTAACCAGAAGACCAAGTATACACTATTACCTTGTGTTGTTTTCAACAGTTTTACATGAATGTTTTTCTTTTCTTTCTTTTTTTTTTTTTTTTTTGAGACAGAGTCTCTGTCACCCAGGCTGTAGTGCAGCAGTGTGATCTCTGCAGCCTCCACCTCCTGAGTTCAAGCGATTCTCCTGCCGCAGCCTCTCGAGTAGCTGGGATTAAGGTGCTCACCACCATGCCCAGCTAATTTTTTTGTATTTTTAGTAGAGACAGGGTTTCACCATGTTGGCCAGGCTGGCCTTGAACTCCTGACCTCAGGTGATCTGGCCACCTCAGGCTCCCAAAGTGCTGGGATTACAGGTATGAGCCACTGCACCTGGTGCATATTTTATTTCAGTAATTGCATAGTGAACTTCTAGAAGGCAGAGACTATGTGCCATATGTGTTTCCTTATAAATCCTCTCTACTTCTAGCACTGCTCATGGAGGGTGTTCAAAAAGTGCCTTCTTAAATTGACATTAATATCTACACAGATTTGAGATAATTAGCCATTTTCCTATGATCTGGGAAGATAAGCATTCCAACCCAAATGTTCATTAAAAAGACAAATAGTGGCCAGGCACGGTGGCTCACGCCTGTAATCCCAGCACATTGGGAGACCGAGGTGGGCCATATCACCTGAGGTAAGGAGTTTGAGAGCAGCCTGGCCAACGTGGTGAAAAACCCATCTCCACTAAAAAGACAAAAAAAATTAACCAGGCATGGTGGCAGGCATCTGTAATCCCAGCCACTCTACTCAGGAGGCTGAGGCAGGAGAATCACTTGAACCTGGGAGGTGGGGGTTGCAGTAAGCCGAGATCATGTCACTGACTCCAGCCTGGGCAAACATGGTGAGACTCCATTAAAAAAAAAAAAGACAAATAGTTCCCTATTATTATGGAGTGATTGAGTAAAGTGCAGCAACATTTGAAGAGAATTCAGAGGTACAACAGATGAAAAGTTTGTAAAAAACAAACCTATATATGTGTGTGTGTATGTATATATAAAATATATATACTGTATATACTATATTATATATAGTGTATAATATGGTATATATATTTTTTATTTTTTTATAAAATATATATAATTTTTTTTTTGAGATGGGGTGTTGCTTTGTTGCCCAGGCTGGAGTGCAGTGGCGTGATCTCAGCTCACTCACTGCAACCTCGGCCTCCTGGGCTCAAGTGATCCTCCCACCTCAACCTCCCGAGTAGCTGGGACTACAGGTGCATGCCACCACGACCGGCTAAATATTTGTATATTTTGTAGAGATGGGGTTTCACCATGTTGCCCAGGCTGGTCTTGAACTCCTGAGCTCAAGTGATCTACCCACCTCAGCCTCCCAAAGTGCTGGGATTATAGGCATGAGCCACTGCAGCTGGCTAAAACCCTACATTGGAGAGGACAGATTAGTCAAGTAGTTGACAAGAGAACTAAAATTTATTCAAAACAAACTCTATAGGCTGGGTGCAGTGGCTTACCACTGTAATCCCAACACTTTGGGAGGCCGAGGCAGGAGGACTGCATGAGCCCAAGAGTTTGAGACCAGCCTGAGCAACATGGCAAAACCCCATTTTTACAAAAAAATACAAAAAAACTAGGCCTGGTGGCATACACCTGTAGTCCCAGCTACTCAGGAGGCTGAGGTGGGAGGATGGCTGGAGCCTGGGAGGTTGAGGCTGCAATAAGCCAAGATTATGCCACTGCACTCTAGTCTGGGTGACAGAGTGAGACCCCGTCTCAAAAAAACAAACAAAAAAACAAACAACAAAAAACAAACAACAACAACAAAAATCCAAAACACTATATCCCAGGCACTATGCACTTTATCTGAATCTTACTGGGTTACTTCAAAAGTAGAAGACAAAATAGTATGAACAGAGGAATTAAGAGGGTTTTGACATTTTATACATTAATGAGATTACAATAGCAAACCTCCATATACAAATCTTCTATTTAAGTCCTGGAAAAGTATAAAATGGAACCAGTTGGATGCTTCTAGGAGTATATTCTGGAATGCAGATGTGCAAGGCTACTTAATATACAGAGGAGTGGTTTAGGGAAGATTTAGAAATTGCTGCTAAAAAGCAAAATGCAGCGGGCTTGCACATGAGGATTGTCAAGGAAGATAAAATGAAGTATCTTTAGCCGAGCTCGGTGGCTTATGCCTGTAATCCCAACACTTGGGGAGGCCAATGCAGGACAACTTGAGGCCAGGAGTTCAAGTGCAGCCTGGGCAACAAGGCAAAACTCCATCTGTACCAAAAATACAAAAATTAGCTGGGCATGGTGGCACACACCTGTAGTGCCAGCTACTTAGGAGACAGAGGTGGGAGGATCGCTTGAACCCAAAAGGTTGAGGCTGAAGTGAGCTGAGATCATGCCACTGCACTCCAGCCTGGGCATCAGAGTGAGATCCTGTCTCCAAAAACAAAAAAAAGAAAAAGAGAAATAAAAAAAAATGAAGTATTTTAGCATAGGCCATCCATCCCAGGGGTTTAGGATTGTTTCTCCACTCTGGTTGATAAAAGACACAAGTGGTCAGGCACAGGTGGTGCATACCTGTAATTCCAGCACTTTGGGAGGCCAAGTCTGGTGGATCATGAGATCAAGAGTTTGAGGGCCGGGCGCGGTGGCTCAAGCCTGTAATCCCAGCACTTTGGGAGGCCGAGACGGGCGGATCACGAGGTCAGGAGATCGAGACCATCCTGGCTAATATGGTGAAACCCCGTCTCTACTAAAAATACAAAAAACTAGCCGGGCGAGGTGGCGGGCGCCTGTAGTCCCAGCTACTCGGGAGGCTGAGGCAGGAGAATGGTGGGAACCCGGGAGGCGGAGCTTGCAGTGAGCTGAGATCCGGCCACTGCACTCCAGCCTGGGCGACAAAGCGAGACTCCGTCTCAAAAAAAAAAAAAAAAAAAAAAAGAGTTTGAGAACAGCCTGGCCAAGATGTTGAAACCCCATCTCTACTAAAAATACAAAAATTAGCTGGGTGCAGTGGCGGGTGCCTGTAATCCCAGCTACTTGGGAGGCTGAGGCAGGAGAATCGCTTGAACCCGGGAGGCGGAGGTTGCAATGATCCGAGATAGTGCCACTACACTCTAGCGTGGGCAACAGAGCAAGACCCTGTCTCAAATAAATAAATAAATAAATAAAATAAATAAATAAAAAGACACAAATGTGACCCCAAGAAGGCATCTGGAAATGTACTCTTAATAGAGATGATAGGTTCACAAACAAGGCAAGTATAGGAGTTGGGTGTTCACCTACAAAGCCATCTGTCCAAGAGCCTGATTAAATTTGAGGAAAGTTGCTGGTGGGGTGATGGTGTGATTGTAGTAAGGCCAGGGGAGCCACTTCAGGCTTGTGTGGCCGATGTCCATGCCCACGTCGCATATATCCATCAGCTCCATCTCCCTGCACCATAGTCAAAGCCAAGATGAGCTAGTAATGGAGTTGAAAAATAGATGGAGGCCGGGCGTCGTAGCTCATGCTTGTAATCCCAGCACTTTGGGAGGCCAAGGTGGGCGGATCACCTGAGATCAGGAGTTTGAGACCACCCTGGCCAACATGGCGAAATCCTGTGTCTACTAAAAATATGAAAATTAGCACCGGGCGCAGTGGCTCACGCCTGTAATCTCAGCACTTCGGGAGGCCGAGGCAGGTGGATCACGAGGTCAGGAGATCGAGACCATCCTGGCTAACACGGTATAACCCTGTCTCTACTAAAAATACAAAAAAAAAAAAAAAAAAAAACCGGGCTTGGTGGCAGGCACCTGTAGTCCCAGCTACTCGGGAGACTGAGGCAGGAGAATGGCGTGAACCTGGGAGGTGGAGCTTGCAGTGAGCTGAGATTGTGCCACGGCGCTCCAGCCTGGGCCACAGAGCGAGACTCTGTCTCAAAAAGAAAAAAAAAGAAAAGAAAAAAAAATTAGCTGGGCATGGTGGGGCACACCTATAATCCCGGCTACTCGGGAGACTGACGCAGGAGAATCCCTGGAGCCTGGGAAGTGGAGGTTGCAGTGAGCCAAGATCACATCACTGAACTCCAGCCTGGGCGACGGAGCGAGACTCCATCTCAAAAA